ATTATATAATACTAATCCAATGTGCCCTTGGTAATTAAGATCAATCAGATCACCCTTTACAGTAACCCTTCTTATCTTGGTAATCAACAGGCATGCGGAACCCCAAGGGGCTGGGTGCCATTCTTAACTTCCAGGTCAATGGAATCAGCGTTGTGTCTCCAGATGGGTGTATTTCTTCCTTTGGAACTAATACCTCCAGACTCACAGAGCATAGGGCCACAGGAACAGGAAACACAATTTTCACCAGTGGATGATTAGGGACCATAGTGAATGGTGATACTTCCATTTCGGGCCTTTGATTCCTGGACTCATGAACACTGGCTATTGGCAAAAACTACCACTAGTTTAGAGCATACAGAACCTCCTGGAAAACATTGCCCTAATCCAATAAGATATTTTCATATAACTGGAACTACAATTGTGTCTTTAACAGGCCATTCCAATGTTCCATTAGACCAGTTTCTTCAGGATGATGGGGAGGACAAGGACAGTGAAAATCATAAGCATGGGCCCATTGTTTTACTTCATTTGCTGTGAATGAGTCCCTCTATTTTACCAAGTCTGATGTTCTTTCCCTAAGACTGATCCGTCCCAACAACATGTCTAAAGTATTTGAGAGAAAGTCTCACCATCCTTGCATCTAAGGGGCATTCTGACATATTTTTTGGTACATTTGTCAGTCGATTGTACTTCATATTCTTCGCCAGCACCACATTTCAATTGTATCCACTCTTCTTTGATCTTCCTTTTTCAATGTCCAACTTTCACATGCAGATGAGGCACTGGAAAGTTCCATGGCTTGGGTCAGACTCACCCTAGTCCTGAAAGTAACCTTTCAACTAAGAGGGTCTTGTGCATCAGATTTACCCAATGTAATGCATCATTTGATCTCTTGATTACTGCTTCCATGAACATTGATTGTGGATCCAAGCAAGAAGAAATCCTTATGGCACCTACTGGTCCAGTTGAGAGGAGTTTGATTTTCTTTCCACTAAGTTGTAATCCGTATTGAAGGTTGCAATCTTTGATCTTCATCAGCAAATGCTCCGAATCCTCCTCACTTTCAGCAAACAAGCTTGTGTTATCTACATATTACAGGTTGTTTATAAGCCTTCCTCCCATCCTGATGCCACATTCTTCTTCATCTAATCCAGTTTCTCTGATTATTTGCCTAGCACACAAATTTGGTAAGTAGGGCACACCCCGACACACACCTTTCTTGATTTTAAACCGTGCATTATTCCCTTGCACAACTGCCTCTTGATCCTTGAACCATGTGCAGGTTCCACATGAGCAAAATTAAGTGTTCTGCGATTCCCATTCTTCTCAAGGCCATCCATAGTTTATTATGAACCACACAGTCGAATGCCTTGGCGTAGTTACTAAAACCCTGGTAAACATTCTTCTGATCCTCTCTGCTTTTAGCCAAGATCCATCTGACATTAGTAATGATATCCCTTGTTCCAAATCCTCTTCCGAATCCAGTCTGAATCTGAGGGAACCCTGTCAATGTCTTGCTGTAAAAGTTGTTGGATGATCTTCAGCAAAATTTTATTGGCATTTGATATTAATGATTTTGTTTCTTAATTTGAGCATTCTGTTGGGTCCATTTCTTTGGAATGGGTACAAATATGGATCTCTTCCAGTCAGTTGGCCAGGTAGCTGTCTTCTTGCAAGTAAGTGCTTCCAGTGCTTCATCAGCTTGTTGAAACATTACAATTGGTATTCTATCAGTTCCTGGATCCTTGTGTTTGGTTAATGCCTTCAGGATATCTTCGACTTTTCCCTTTGGGTACCATTGCTTCTTGCTTATATGCTACCTCTTGAAATGGTTGAATGTTGACAAGTTATTTTTGGTCCAGTAACTGTGTACTTTTTCTATCTTCTTTTGATGTTTCCTGCCACATTAAATATTTTGCCCATAGACTCTTTCAATATTGCAATTCAAGGCTTGATTTTTTTCCTCTTTAGTCCTTTCAGCTTAAGATGTGCTGAGCATGCCCTTCCATTTGAATGGGAGCATAGGAAGAAGGACTCTAACTCGAGTTTGGGTCCATTTTACCATTCCTCTGCGTATAAGAGGTCCATCCCAGAAGTCGGAACCGAAAGAATCCTGTGTCCATCAAGAAATAAGAGCCGCCAGCAGAGCGTGTGCAAGATTCTTGTCTGAAGTGCCAGAGGTGGAAGAGGAACCAGAGGAGGCCACAGCACTGAGACCATGAGGCAGGGCAGAGGCTACACGGAGACTATGAGGAAGAATAGCAGAATGACAGGCTTCCCAGCTCACAGAACAAGACAGAGTCCAATGCACCATATGGCTGAGAGGCTGAGGACCAAAGAGACAAGGCTGCTGGCTGAGAAGAAGCGATGCTATGGACTAAAGACTGTATCTTTAATGTTTTCTAATCCTGACTTGTAGCAACCTGTTAATTTCTCCAATAGATGCCCATAATTGTGAGTATTGTCTGTGAGTTCTGTGTAACCATTACAAGTAGAGCGTTGTGGGAAGGACAGTTGGTGTCAGAATAGGCTAAAGAAGGCTGGAGGGTGGAGGCACATCTAGCCTCTGATTGTCCCACTCAACCTTGGGCTGGCATGGAGTTGGATTCTCCTTCCTACTGAAGCCAGAGGTCAGATGTGTTCCCCAGGCCCGTTCCTCGGGTATCTTAATTGAATTAGGGCAGTTCCGACGGGCAAAGCTGACTTACATAAAATAGTAATCACCGTTATTTTCAAGAATGCTGGGGAGCATCACAAATATGTTGTTTGCCATGGTGTTAAACAGTGTGCCCTTTGGGTACTCCAGTAATGGGTCTTTGGGTCAAACCTAATTGATTCTCTCTAATATGCCAATTTCCTGAAGCCTTCGGACACTTTCTTCTAAAGTAAGGTGACCAGATTTTAACATTGGTAAAGCGGGACACCATTGATAAAACTCATATCCTGGCGAAATAGCCACATGGCAGCCGAAAACCGTATACCCTAGCTTGTCGTGCATTCGTTCCAAAATTCGGGACTTTTTTTTAAAACGCTGCGGGACACAGGAAAAATTGTTAAAAATTGGGGCTGTCCCGCCAAAAGTGAGACGTCTGGTCACCTTATTCTAAAGGCCTGATCATTCAACTTGATTTAGTGCAGGTGACCACACATCAGTGAAGAAACCAAATAAACGATTAGATCCTTGTATTATCTTCTCAAGCTGAAATACTGAGTGAAAGAATTTGTGCTTAGTGGGCTCATATCAACAAACTCAGTATGACCCAAGTCTCTTGCATGGCTCCCACTCGGTCGGTTTTACCTTTGACTGCACATTGCAAACTCATGGACAGCTTTACAAAATGCAGATGCCTGGGCCGCCTCCCTCTGGGGTTCGGAGGTCTAGGGTGTAGCCTGGGGCTTTCAGGTATCCAAACGTGCCCCCAGGTGATGCTACCATAAGTAAAAGTTGAGAGCCACTGGCCTAATGGGGGGGGGGGATAAACTGTTTCTCTCCGAATCTCAGCCTGCCCCCTGGGGTGTGACTTTCTTGGCCGGCCCACAGGGTCGCCATAGCTTCGCCTTGTGCCCTGATACTCCCTATTATTCAACAAAATTTGATTGAGCTACTTGCAGGGTGCCTGATGCTGTTGTAAACTATGGAGATGCAACAAACATTCAGGAAAAGCCCTGCCTTCAGGGAGCTTACTGTATGGATGAGGAAGGAAAACAAATCAACAAATGCGTTATCAAATAACACAATTCCAAACGTGCTACGGTGTCTAAAGGTAGCAGGGTCTTGCAAAAATATAAGGAAGTTATGCTTTTCCCCTAAACATGGTAAATTCCCAGGCGGCGGAGACCAGATCTTATGCTCAATTTTCTAAACTGTGCTTGACATATGTAGATTTTAGGAAAACAGCTGCAACCACTCAAGACTCACAGGTAAGAGGTGGAGGGGGGCGAAGCTGAAATTTTCCATAAAGAAGAAGAGGATGATGAAACGGATAGCCAGGGCCACAACCTGCAAGCTTAAAGATGCAGACAAAGACCCTGCCTACGGAAGAGGTTCGGTAGGAAGCTGTGGCTTAGAAGAGGATGGTTTTTCTTCTGATGATGAAGCTGACAATGAGGAGGATGCTGAACCCTGTGATGATGAAAATAAATACTGAATCTAATGTTGGGATAAACACAGGCTGGGCAGATGCCATGGCCGAAATTCTTCACACAAAAACTCCTACGTGTACACCCAGGATTCAGATAAAAAACCAAGAGCTGGGAACAGAGAGGGAAAAGCTAAACCAAGAGAGGAGGGAGAAAAGAAAACAGCTTGATAAGAAGCAGGTGAGAGAAAGGATGTGCCTTGTACAGCCAGATGCTGCCGAAGACGGGAGAGAACTCTTGCGAGGCTCGCTGCAAGGCGTGTGGTGCAATCCTCTCACGCTCTTCCGAAGCAGCAAAAGAACGTTGATGAAAAAGCGAAAGAAGCTGGAGACTCGATTAGAAAAAGCGAAAGAAGCTGGAGACTCGATTAGAAAAAGCGAAAGAAGCTGGAGACTCGATTAGAAAAAGCGAAAGAAGCTGGAGACTCGATTAGCGAGGCGGGATAACGGGTCACAGAGCCGCGCCCTGGTCAGGGTGCGGTTTTTTAAAATCATTTTATTGAGGGCTCGTACAACTCTCATCCCAATCCGTCCATCCATGGTGTCAAGCACATTTGTACATTTGTTGCCACCATCAATCTCAACAGGGTGCGTTTTAAGCAGCGAATCGAGATAGGCGGGTCCTACGGACTGCCACACGCCCAGAGCGGCTCAGAGACTGCGAAGCATTCCAGCAGTGGCTGACGCTCTACTTCCTGGCCAATGAGCGGCCCGCGTTGCGAGGGGCCCCGTGGCCCCGCCCCTAGGCACCGGGTAGCCCCGCCCCCGGCGACGCGGCCCCGCCCCTGGCGGCTTCCCTGTGAGGGCGCGGTCCTGGCGCGTGCGCTCCACCGTCGCCTCCGTTTCCCTCGGCGGACCTCCGTGGGCCTGCGTCTCCGGACCCGTGCTCTCGAGCCAAGCACGATGAGGCGGGCGGCGCTGCGGTAGGTGTCGGGCGCCGGGCGGGGGCGGCCCAGGGCCGCCCTCCGCCCCCGGCGCTGAAAAACGCCATGGGTATTGGGGCCAAACTTGAGGGCTTGGCGGGGGTGTGGGCCCGACCGGATATCGGCCCGCCGGCCTCTCGTGGCGGGAACCCAGCCTCCCCCGCCCCCCGAGTGTCTTCGGACACGGAGTTTCACGTGAAAAGCGGAGGAAGTTGAGCGTTCCCTGATTGACATTCCTTTCCTTTTGGTCACCCAGGGTGTGGTTGGACATGGTTTTGGGGTGGCCTCCGGTCACCAAGCTCGTCTTTGAACTTCCAAGATGCCCCTCCAGCCTTTTGCCCTCGTTGGAGCTCATTTTCAGGGCTGAGTGCGTGGCCCACTTGGACTCGGTCTGGGAATGTGTTGTCATGGGGACAAGGCGCCTCTCAGGTTCTCAGGGACCCCCAGGGCTTTAGGATGATGTGAACTTTACCTTTAGAGAGCTGCAGGGCTGCAGTTTAGGGGGGTGAGGGTGGGGGTTGAGTCCCTTGGACAAGGAGGATGCCTTGCCCCTTGTGGAATCTTCTCACCTGGCACCTGATGGGTCGCTGTGAGTCAGAATTGACCCGATGGCAGGGAGTTTGATTATTTTTGGTTTGGACATCCGACCCCAAAGTGAGGGTGGCTCTCTCCCACCAGGTTTCACCCCAACCCTTTCAAGTAGTCCTGCCCCAGGGAACGCCCACTGATTTGCAACCTGAAGTCCTGGGTGTGTGGCCCACAGTGGTGACACACACTGCTCCCATCTATTGCTGCTGTCTCTGCTGTCACTCTTAGCAGTTGGAGGGTAGAGTTAATGAAAAATATGTTGCTGCACTTGATTTGAAAACAAGTTGACAGTCCTGACAAATTGGGTCACAGTGGGGATTAGCTTGTGTTGGCCATGATGAGAAAGGTCTACAAGCTCCCCGGTCTTGCTCTTCTCTCACGAGACCTTTCTTGATCCCCTGTCCAGTTTGAATGGCCTCTTTCTTTGCACTGAACCAAATTTCCTAGTGATTTCTGGTGAGCGTAAGCAGATATACTGGGGTTAGGGGTTGTGGAGTGGGTTCTGGCTCATAGGGAACCTGTCTGCACACCAGAGCAAAACACCGCACCAACCTCACACTCATTGTTATGTTTGAGCCCATTGTTGTAGCCATTGGGCACTCAGTCCATCTCCTTGAGGGTCTTCCTCTTTTTCGCTGCCCATCTACATTACCAAGCCGTTATACTGGCAGTTTTGACTTCTGTGAGAAAGATTTCATAAGTGGATACAGATGTCTGAGATGATTAGGTTCTTTGTCTGATGGGCATCCTTTAAAACTTAAAAAAACCAAAAAAACAACAACTACAAG